GTGATTAGGAATAGTCAGCATGGATTCACAAAGGGCAAGTCATGCCTGACCAAACTGATTAGTTTCTAGCTCTGTGGATATGAGGAAGTCAGTAGATGTGATATATCTTGACATTAGCAAGGCTTTTGATACTGTCTCCCACAATATTCTTGCCAGCAGGTTAAGGGAATGTGGATTGGATAAATGGATGGTAAGATAGATAGAAAGATGGCTAGAAGGCTGGGCCTAGCGGGTAGTGATCAATGTCAGGATGGCGGTCAGTTTCTAGCAGAGTGCCCCAAGGTTCGGTTCTATGACTGGTTTTGTTCAATATCTTTATTAATATTGGATGAGGAGATGGATGGCACCCTCAGCAAGTTTGCAGATGACACTAAGCTGGGGGAGAGGTAGATATGTTTGAGGGCAGATATAGGATCCAGAGTGACTTAGACAAATTGGAGGATTGGGCCACAAGAAATCTGATGAGGTTCAACAAGGACAAGTGCAGAGTTCTGCACTTGGGACGGAAGAATCCCAAGCATTGTTACAAGCTGGGGACCAACCACTTAAGTAGTAGTTCTGCAGAAAAGGACCTGGGGATTACAGTGGGTGAGAAGCTGGATATGAGTCACCAGTGTGCCCTTGTAGCCAAGAAGGCTAATGGCATATTAGGTTGCATTAAGAGGAGCATTGCCAGCAGATCCAGATATGTCATTATTCCCCTTTATTCGGCTCTGGTGAGGCCACATCTGGAGTATTGTGTCCAGTTCTGGGCCCCCCACTACAAAAAGGATGTGGACACATTGGAGAGGGTCCAGCGGAGGGCAACCAAAATGATTAGGGGGCTGGAACATATGACTTATGAAGAAAGGCTGAGGGAGTTGGGTCTGTTTAGTCGGCAGAAGCAAAGAGCGAGAGGGGATTTGATAGCAGCCTTCAACTTCCTGAAGGGAGGTTCCAAAGAGGATGGAGAGGCTGTTCTCAGTAGTGACAGATGGTAGAACAAGGAGCAATGGTCTGAAGTTGTGGTGGGAGAGGTCCTCTTAGTGAATGAGATCCCCTATTCCTTCCCAGACAGGGCACCCATGAGGAGAAGGGATGTTAAATATCAGTTAATTGAATAGTCAATTAACATCATGAATTCTTATTGGTTAGTCAACTATTCTGTGGTCCCTGAGTACCCCCTGTTTGGGGGGGCAGGTGTCTGAGCTCCCAGACCTGGCACAAGCCAGAACTGAGCCAGGCTGCCTGCCTCCTAATACTCTTAGGAGCTGCAGCGCGGGTAGGTCCAGGACCCAGTGCAAGCTGGGACTAAACTGGGCTGCTGGCCAGCCTGCTAAAAAATTTACTGGCAAGGGTGGGGGGGAAATGCGTGTAGTCTATAGCATTAACCTATAAGGTTTTGCTTATTGGTTAATCGGTTAATTGACTATACTCTTACATCCCTAATGAGGAGAGCTTTACATGCCTTCCTGTTTTACAGCACCTGCTTTCCCTGTGCTGATACCTCTTTTCCACTTCTGGTCTGAATCCCACTTGTCACTTTATCTCCCTTGCAGAAACTGTTTATACGATTAGGGAGAGGCACCTCTCCTTAGAATCCTGGTCTGTCCCACTTCTGAGTGACCAAAATGCCCAGCCACCTAATTGGACCCCAAATCCCAGGAGATTAGCCAGTATTAAATCAAAATCTGCCTGAGGAGACATTATTTTCCTGAGTTATAACAAGTCTAAACGAACTTGGATTTGAGAGGAAAGGGCAGGGCCCATCCCACCAAAGAAACTTTGATCAACACACAAAAATATCTCTATCAAGTCAGATCATTACCGGAGAATCTTCAGGAGATGGAGAAATCTCTTTGGAATCTGCTGTCAAAAAAAGCCGTGGAGGCTTAGGGGGCGGTTCCTCACTAAATGTCAGTTTAACCACTGGATAGTCACTGCATTTGGAAGAAATGTTTTAAAGGGGTCACTACAGAATAGAGTAGAGAGGACACTACTTCAGTGCCAGAATTACACGAGCAAGATTTAAGTTAATCCTAAATGCGCTGGACAGTTTGAACCCCTGATTCAAACCTGGGATTCAAGCCTGTGAGAAACCAACAGGCAGTGTACTCCTTTAAAATGAATTGTAACAAAATAAACATTTATTATGTTCTGGTTTTTATACTCATGTCAGGATACCTAGCACTCTGACATTTTGAGTGATGAAACCCATAGAAATGCTTATAAATAAAATGATCATCTGATGAAGAATTTAAAGTAAACATTTTTTTACTGTGTCTAGCTTAATAACTATCTTAATCTACCTACTTTACAAAAGCTTATGGACCAGTAAAAAACAAAAAACAAAAAAACCCCAAAACCTCCTACATGAGCAAATCAAAAAACCAAATAGTAGCTTTGGAACACATTCAAACTGGTGGTTAGATATTTACAACTACAGGAAAGAAGATTATGTTCTCTATCAGCATCAGTTAAATTGTGGCCAGTTAAACTGTGGCCTTGTATAGTACTCAGATAGCACAGAATTAAGAGAATGTGTGTCATAATTGATTTTAGGCCTGGATAACTTTATTTGGTCAAATGCTAAATTACATTTATTCTGATAAAACTTAAGGCAGCTTTTGACTTTATGTGAAAGTGCACTGAAGCTGGCTTTGACTGATTTTCCCTGCCAGCAGGGAAATGCACTCTCTCAATGTCATGCTTAATATAATAAGAAATGAGTGGAAACATGAAAAAGAAATTGATGAGGAACCATGAATTATATTTAGCAAAGAGAGAATGGATCTCACACCATTGGATGGAGGTCTGTTCCCCTCTCCTCCTCACGTGAACCTCTCACAAGTCCTGTTTACAAAGGGTTATCTGCTGGTAGTCACACTCAGATTTTGCAGAAGAACAACCACCTATGACTGAATCCTATGATTCCAGACTGACACACCAAATTATTGGTCCACACTGAACAATAGCCAGCATGCTAAGATCCTAGCAACATCAGTGCTGCAGCTGGGAGGTGTAATTTCCACTGTGAGTAGACAGACTTGTGCTAGCTCAGCTTTAACTAGCCATCCAAGTCCAAGCCCATCTGTCCCTCTGGATCTGAGAATTCAGCAGACACCATTCTGAACTATTTCTATCTGGAAGCAATCAAGAAGGAACTGGAGTGGCAACAGATTTGCACCTGCCTATATACCCCTGCACAGTAGCACGCAGAAGCATAGTGCGCAGGCACACACCTTTGGGCACTGCTAGCTAAAAATCTCCATTTGAAAGTGCCCAGGCATATGCACATCCTATGGTGGAACACCTATGGGGCATATATACTCAAAGAAGAACTGGGATTCTGGAAATCTGTCCAATGATCAACAATAAATTGGAGATGGCCCTACAATACTGAATGCTCCAAATAAGTCCACATTATCTCAGCCAGTATTAGCTTTTCTTAATAGCCCAAGCTGAGTTTCATATATAGATATTTCATACCAAGGTATTTTACCATCTGTTTGGCACATAGCATTAATTGGAATAATACTTACCTGTCCAACATGAACACTGAATCAGTTTGCAGCAGTGCTGGAGAGGTAAAATCTGAATTAATAGGACTACCAAGTGTGGGGCTTAGAGTGCTCATGGAACTACATGGCGGGAGGATGCTCATCATCAGACGTCCCCAGGTAGCAATGTTTATGTTCATTTGAGAGGCTCGGAGAAACTGCATTCCTGGAGAAGGTGAAACCCAAATATTACTGGGGTTACCATGCCAAGCACTACACGAACCACTAACTTATCTAGTTTATGTAAGCAGCCACTGGCTCCCCCTTTCCCCCCACAAAAAGAGGCCCAATTTGGAGAGGGTGGGCTAAGAGGCATCTTAACTACATCCAGCTAGCCAATCAGAACAGCTAACAGAAGGTAACTAACAAGGTAAGTATTCATAAGGTCCTATTAGCTGTAGCTGTAAAAGACCTCTTCCTTTGTCACGTCCAGACCCCAGCAAAGTATGATCCTCACACAGAAGATATAGCAGATATTAAATTGATTCTCTACAAGATCTTGTCCAAAAGATAATGGCACTATATATATTCCCATTTTCCACCCCCACTCTCCTGTTGAATGTAAGTCCCATAGGATGAGAACAGAAACACTGTGAAAATAATTCTATATTTTTAAAGGTCTTTCCATGATTTTTGCTGTTTCTTGCTAAATCAAAGCTTTGTTTAAAAAAATCTAGCTTTTCCAAACACAAAGAGCTTTCGGAGTGTAAATTTTCTCTCCCCCTCTCCCTTCCCCCATCTCGCTGAGGGAAAAAAAGAAAATGTGCTATATCACCCAGCAACCCATTCAACTTGCTGAGTTGTCAACTTCAAAGCCTTGTTGAATAATCAGAATCCCTGTCCATACGATGGCCTTGTCTACATTTTCTGATAAATCTCTCACCACTATAGCATAGATGGTAGAATGAGCATAGATTGAGGCTTGGATCTTGAGAACAACAATCCTGTTCAGAAACTACTATAATCACATCCTTGGCATTCTAATCATGTTAGACATGGACGTAAAGAGTGTTACAATATGTGGATGTAAACAATGTTACACCATGTACATGTCATATTACAGCCATGCTTCAATTTTTTCCCTGGTGAGTGGAGACATTGCCATACTCTAATAGATCTCCCCTACACAGATACATTTCCCCAGAAACATTTCAAAAAGTACCATAGACCCGGGGTGCTATTCTGGAACAACTTTTTACAGTGGGGGTGCTGAGAGCCACTGATCCAAACAGTAAACTCTCTATAGAACGGAAACCACATCAGGCCAGGAGGTGCTGCAACAGCCCCTCCAGCCACAATCACATAATCATACATGCCTCTACTGGAGTGGCTGTTAGTTCACGGGCAGGTTACCTTTCTGTTTGGGGAAAATACGTTTTTGGCGCTGCAGTTTGGATCGTCTCTCAATCACAGGGTTACAGAAGGTCACCTGCCAGGGAAGCAGAGGAGACGCTACAACAGGGCAGTTTACTTCTCTCCTGGACAAATGAGACATCCCTTCTGACCAAGAAACCATTCACACCCATTCAGCAAACTAGGGGTCACATATACAAGCAGATATCAGACTGAGTTATACTATCTACTCCTCTCAGGTGATATGTTAATTCTTTTTTTAAAGTTAGAAGTGTGCATTAACCTAAAGTACAGAGAACCTGACAAAGGCAGAATGATTGGCTCATAATATTTCTAGAGTGTCTTCCAGGGGTGAAAGGAACTTGACTTTCTTAAAGGTATCTAATGCAACCAAGGTTCCTGACAGCTCTTTAAATAGCTCCCTGCTGGCTTTTGCCAGAATTCAACTGTTCTTGCCAGAGATGCGCACCAGGGCACACCTGTTTACTTTCACCTCTGGTGTCTTCCATCCCAATTGATGCCAGTGTATTTTTCAAATTACGTACATAAAACACTGCAAAAATGCAGCTACCTCCAAAATGGGAAGCAGTAACCAGATACTCCACAACACAAGTGTGATAAAAGGGGAAATTTTGGCGAAGGAGGCAGTGTCAGATTCCAATTTAGGAAAGATGACCTGGTATTTTTTGTATCCTGCAAAGGAGTCAGGACTAGTTTTTAAGGGTTACCTGGAAGATCTCATGAGTTCCATGCAGTTTATTATCTCAAAAGATGAAGGGATGAGGTCAAACTGATGGGATTTGATCTCATGGTTCCAGACAGTCTGAGTAATTCAAACCTAACTATTAAGGCATCAATGTAAAGTGTTGATGATGACTACTATCAAAAACAAGTCAAAGAATGTGGCTTTTATGTAGTGCCCATAGGTATGTCTATGCTACACTGTTATTTTGAAATATCTTATTTCGAAATAGTTATTTCAAAATAACGCGTCTACACACAAAATGCATTTCGAAATAGCATTTTGCTATTTTGAAATAGCGCATCCACACTGAGTGGACTCTGAATCGCATTTAAGGCTGGCCGGAACCAGTTCCAACAGGGCACCAGGTCAGGACTTACTGTGTGGGCTACTGCCTGAGGCTGAGGCCTGTGCTTAAAGGGACCCCCCTGGACAGCCAGTTCTCAGGTTTTCCTGCTTGCTTGTCTACCTCAATGAGGGACAGCAAAGCATTTTGTATCTGTGTGCTCTGGTTGCCCTCACTCGGGACACCACAGCACTCTGCAACATGGAGCCAGAGCTGCCCCTGGGCACTCTTGTGTTTCTCTTGGATGCATTGCTGCAAGCCTGGCTGCACTTTCTGCAGGTTGCCATCCAGGAGGTCCATTGGAGGGCTGTCAGTATCCAGGAGGCGCTGCGGGAGAGCTTCCACCCTGAGGAGCACTAAGACCCTCCCTGGTCTTCCCCACTGGGGGATTGTGCCTCATTCCTCCCTCATGTCCTTCCACTTACCCCTCCCTAGCCCCCCTTCCTGATGTCAAATAAAATACACTTATTTTCATGAACACAAACGCTCTTTATCTAACAAAACTGGGGGGGAGGGAATGAAACTCTGGTGAGACTGGGGAAAGGAGGCCGAAGAGGGGAGAAGAGAGGGTGGAAGGGGGAGGGGGAAACCTGGGAGGAGGGATCTGGAAGGGGAAAGCAGGGGGACGGGAAGCTCAGGGTTGGGGGTCTCGCTGGACCAACTTGATTTTCATGCGAACCTGCTCCTGGATTCGCATGTGGCCTTTGGTGGCCAGGCTGGCAGCTATCCTGCCATAGACGGCTGCGTTCCTCCATCTAGTGCGGAGATCATGGACGTTGGGGGCATCCCCCTCAAACCTGAATAAGGTCCATGATCTCCACCCTGGACCAGGAAGGTGCCCACCTTCTCCGGGCCTTGGCAGGCTCCTGGGAGCTGGCAGACTGCTCCTGGGGAGCAGTGAAGGGCTAGCTGCCAGTGGCTTGCTGGCTCATATTTTGGGGCCACTGGGTCAGGGGCAGTGACTGCTGGCTCTGGGCTGGCAGGCTAGGAGCTGGCACAGGCACTGTGGCCAGAATCTACCCTTTTAAGGGCTCTGGGGAAGGGAAACAAGTGTTCTTGGTTGAGGCCGAAGTTGCCACCTAGGCACCCTGGGAAGGCTGGAGGCCCCCTATTTCGAAATAAGTGTCTACACAGCACTTATTTCGAAATAGCTATTTTGAATTTGGTATTATTCCTCGTAGAATGAGATTTACCAAATTTGAAATAAGCGCTCTGCTATTTAGAATTTATTTCGAAATACCTTTGCTGTGTAGACATACCCCAAGTAATTACAGTGGGAGCCCCAGGGATATCCTCACTATAAACAGTTATCCTTTTTCAGTTGGTGTTTTGGCCTTAAACATTTGTGTGTAGAATGTATCAGCCACAAAGGTGATTCCTTACAGTAAGTAATAACCAATGATTTTTTTTAAATCATATTTTTATTGTATATCCATTTATATTCAATTGAATAAAAGTTTATTTTTTTTAAATATTTTAAAATGCTACATTTTAAATTACATAAATCTATGTTAAGTTTTAGATTACCAAAAATGTTTAAAATAATTTAAATTAAATATAAATATATAATATTTATTATGTAGTGAATGTTTGCTGCCAAGAAAGTCATATACACTAAACTAGTGACAGTCATTGGCTAAATACCTAGCACTGGGGTTTGTTAAGGTAAATCAGCTTTTTCAGCAGATGCAGAAAGCGTATATATTTGTTTAGTTTATTCAATTAATTCAGTTTAATGACTAGCATGTTCTAAGTTAATGGGAGTTGAAAAGGCAGGAAAATTTGTTTTCCTCTTTCAATCTATGAATCAAAATTAGGTGGAGGATGAAATTTATTCCTTCTCAAATCCCAAAGGATATAGTGACAAGAAATAATCAGTTCAATTCACTAATTACAGATAATACTTTCTTTGTTTAATACATCAATTAGTCTTAAATGCAAAACATGTTTAGATTCACTTTTTCATTAATTTTGTTTAAACGTATCTAGTATATTTAAAGGGAGTTATATTTAACTAATAATTTTAAAATGCTGTTTTGTGGATTTTTTATTTAATTTGAATTTCCATCTCCATAGACCTTGACACAAATCACAGATAAAAAAATTGATCATCTAGTAAAAAAACAAATGCATCATTCACCATTCCCTAACAATAAAAAGATAAAATCAAGTATATGAAAAAGTGTAAGTTAAGCTTAAATAAATGTGTATAGAACATATCCTCCCTCTTCTCTGCTTTCATTCTGAGATCAGCAGCTCTCTCCAGGATACATACCACATACTAAACAGGGGGATGGAAACTATTTGAATTACACATGATCGCCATCCCTCCTCATCTCCCCACCGAAGATCAAGCAGATTACTTTTGAGATATTAAGACTATGCATTGAGTGAGGGTGTGAGTGTGTCTAAAGGTTAGAATAGAGAAATGTAAGTCAAGACTCCTGGGATCTACTCAGCTTTCCCACTGATTTAATGTGATCTTGGGTAAATCACATCATCTAATCATGTCTCAGTTTACCCATTTGTCTGTAAGTTTCTCAACTCAAGGAAAGTCAAAATCCAACAGAATTACCTATTATGTCAGTATATACCTGTAAAATCTGGACCCTTTACCTCAGCAAAAAGCGTCCCCTGGGGTTCAAGAGAGAGGCACATCCCATGACGTTCATTATCAAGAAAGTCATCTAAGCGCAAGAACTTCACTGCACACAGCTCTCTCCAGTCACGCCAATAGACTGCAATCTCCAGTTCCCGGGACTGAAAGAAGAGAGGCAGAGAGAGATTGGTCATGGGGCAGGCCAATGGCTTGATGCATGTATGCGTATGCACACACACACGGCACGTTCTGGACTCCATTTTAACTCTGATGTTAGTTCCTTTTCCTGTATTGTAGAAATTCCACACAGCTAAACCATGCAGTGTATAAGAGACATGCTCCAGGGAAAAGATGCCAGTTCCTCATTCCTATTGCTTCTCACCACTGTGGTCTTTTCAGTTCTTCAGCAGCTAGAACTTTCTTTAAAGATTGCTCTTTTTCACGTAATTTCTTCTCTTTGATCCTATATAAGATTGATCCCCATCCCAAATATCAGTAAGCTGTATTGCTGGTAAAAAGATGGAGCATAGCCACCCAAATGGAGACAGAAGAGGAGCATCAAATGCTGCCCAGACTGAAGTGCTACCAAAGGTAGCCTAGTAGATTTAAGGATAGGGTAGCCACATTATCAGTGCTAGTAGAGAAATGGTTAAAAAACTGAATAGCAAGTAAATCGCCAAATTCACAGAAATAAATTCAAATAAAGTTAAAGACAAGCAAAGGATACAACATAGGAAATATGAGGATCTGGAACTCCTGTCATTCCACAGAGATAACATCTTACCCGATCCAGCTCAATGACAAAGCTTTGGTTCCAAGCCTGGTTATTAACTGGGCCCCAGTTTGTCTGACCAACCACTTTATTGTCCACTTTGAGTACAGCAAGCACCTCATCTGAACAAGGGAGAAAGTGGAGGTTACAATCCTGTATGTGATTAAAAGTCTGAATATACTTCTTGCTGGAAGTGACCTCACATTCTAATTAGATTTCTAGCACAGGAGATCACTAAAGGGGGTGGAAGAGCAAATGATTCAGCCTCTTCCCCCTATTCCAGGAGCTAAGCTTCCAGGTTTACTTTCACTGCACCCACACCAGACTGAAAGGTGGGAGGCACAAAAGACAACAGCATCACTGATCCAACAATAAATATCATACTCACTACACAGTTCCTCATTCCTCAAGTGCTTTGTTGCAGTACTGCGGCTATGAATACTCATCCCGGCTCGGGCTCGAGTCAGGGACTTCATGTCACTTGGGCTTTCATGGTTGGGAGATGAACCAATCACTCGGGAACGTCCTGGAACCTTTTCCAACAGATCCTGACACCCCAACAGTCTTACTTCTAATGAGCCTGAGGAATTTCACCAAAGAGAATTATTCTCAAGAAACGTGAAATTATTCTAGTCAGTCCATATAGGAAGTCAGAAACTTTAGATTTATGTTGCCTAGGTATTTTACACTATGAATTCAGAGCAGTTAATCAGTGATTAAAGTCATTACAATCTGATAACTTTTTGGTGGCCTACATGAAACAAATTAAGGACTTTGACCATTTTTAGTGAACCAAGTGTCCACATCACAAAAATCACCACATTCATTACATGAATATATAGGGAAGAAATATTGCCCACTGTCTGCAGCCTAAGGTACCTGTGAGAGCTGTGGGTTTGATCAATGAAGTAAAGGGCTGAATGGCAACATGCTGAGCTCCCTGAGAGGAAGCATTCACTAGCTCCTGCTTGATGAGTGCCCACTTTGGGTGATCAGGAGAAAGCTCGTTAAGCTGCTGCTCCAGGGCCAAGCGCAGCAAATCAATCTTCTGAGATGATTCTTGCAAGCGACTCTGAGCCTAGTAACAAGGAGCAGAGGAAAAAAACGAGTATCAATTTTGAATAAATAGCCACTGCCATGGTCTTGGTGCTACACATCACAAGCAACACAATTGGCCATCCTAAAAGGCCAAGCACCATCCTGCTCACTAAGGACAAGAGACTGGTCAGCACCACTCGTTCATCACAAGTCACTGCTGCTGGTAGTCAGGGGGATTCTGTCCTGAACAAGATCCCACCACAATATTTCCAACTCAAAGAATAAACTAAAACCAAAAATCCCATACAGGTTTCTTACATACCACTATACTACAATAAGCCACCAAAAGATTTCTAATTAAAAATGACTGGCATAATGAACACCCAAGTTGGATAATTAGTATAACTAACACTTCACACTTATACAAAGCCTTTTATCTGAGACTTTCAAAGCTCTTTACAAACATTAACTATGTCTCACAAAAGCTCTGTAGAATAAGTATTATCCTCATTGTACAGATGAGTAAACAGACGCACAAAAAGGATATCTGACTTGCCCAAAGTTACATAGCAAATTTCCGATTCAAATTTTCCTGTTCTGATGAGGTTGTTGTTTCATTTTCCATAAGTTCATTTTCTCCCTAGCTTTATTATGTAAATCAGTTGGCAAGTTCTGGAAATGTAATGTCTCACAAAAGCAGCATATGATGGGGGAGATTTATGTGTGGCTTTTTAAAAAATAGTAATTGCATACTATAGGCAATGACAACTACAGAGTCTCTCAAACAGCAGTTATACAAGGGAATTATCAACTTCTACTATTACAGTTGCTGGGAGTAGCAACTGCTGCAACATTATTATAAACATGAGGGCTACGTCTACACTGGCCCCTTTTCCGGAAGGGGCATGTAAATTTCACCAGTCGTCGTAGGGAAATCCGCGGGGGATTTAAATATCCCCCGCGGCATTTAAATAAAAATGCCCGCCGCTTTTTTCCGGCTTTTAAAAAAGCCGGAAAAGAGCGTCTACACTGGCCCCGATCCTCCGGAAAAAGCGCCCTTTTCCGGAGGGTCTTATTCTTACTTTGATAGCTTCCATGGAACCTACTGGCTGCCTAGAATGGGCTCAGCAGAGGGCACATGTTACAGAAAGATGCACTTACACACGGGCTACGTCTACACTGGCCCCTTTTCCGGAAGGGGCATGTAAATTTCACTAGTCGTCGTAGGGAAATCCGCGGGGGATTTAAATATCCCCCGCGGCATTTAAATAAAAATGTCCGCCGCTTTTTTCCGGCTTTTAAAAAAGCCGGAAAAGAGCGTCTAGACTGGCCCCGATCCTCCGGAAAAAGCGCCCTTTTCCGGAGGGTCTTATTCTTACTTTGAAGTAGGAATAAGATCCTCCGGAAAAGGGCACTTTTTCCGGAGGATCGGGGCCAGTGTAGACGCTCTTTTCCGGCTTTTTTAAAAGCCGGAAAAAAGCGGTGGACATTTTTATTTAAATGCCGCGGGGGATATTTAAATCCCCCGCGGATTTCCCTACGACGACTGGTGAGATTTACATGCCCCTTCCGGAAAAGGGGCCAGTGTAGACGTAGCTGGACTGCAGTATTATGGCATCACTGATCAGTGTCATGGAACATGGTAGTAAAAACCCATTATGTCATTGCCCAGAACAAGGCTGGGGCATTAATTCACAACAGCTGTAATACTGTTTTTCCTCAGAAAAAAAGGTTACTACTATCCAGCATAGAGAAAGTCACCATCAATGCTTCTAGTAGCAATACTGCAATGGCACTTACTTCAGCCAACACTTTGCGATCCTGCACCCGCCTGCCTCCTAGGATCTTCACCACATTTTTTGCTCCCTCAGCTACAGCAGCTTCAATGCATAGGTGATGCCGCAGTTCTTCAATGCGTAGCTCCTGGAGACTGATGGTGGCTCCCACCTTCACTGGTCAAGTTGTAGATAAATATAGCAATCAGACAAGCAAGTGACTTAGCATCTCAGGCATTGGGGCTTAACACTTCAGCATCATCTTCTGCGCGTGATTTCAGGATATCCAAAACATCTTACCTGCTGGATCCATTGCATACTCTATTCCACCTGCCAACTGAGATACTTTCACAATCTGCATGCGAATCAGCTCAATCTTCGTCTTACTGTCCTGGAGCATTTGCTGAGCTGTTGCCAGCAGCTTCCGGTCCTGGTAAGACAGAACAGATGACTAGAGAAATACATACAGGAGAGAAGTGGATTTTAATGATGGGACACCAAAACATGCACGGCCTTAAAAGGAGTCCTGAAAAGTCCTAAAACATGATATAATGCCCAGTTGTGCAAAGGAGATGCATAAGCAACAGGACTGACCATTTCCAAACACTGTAGATACAGATGAGGGATCTGTGAGATGCTGTAACACCTATAAAAGATATGATGAGTTTGCTAAGTAACAATGTCCTGCCCTGTGGGTACATTCAACTAAGAGTTTGCTCTGATGAGGTTGCAATGATTTAATATTGTGCATTATAGTCAGTTGTGCTGGTAGTTACTCCAAACCTCCACCTGTACAAATCAAGAGGTCCAAGATCTTTATCTTGCTCAGTTAAATTAAGCTTCTTTAAAAACTGTATTTTTATTCTTCTCCAGAATATTCAATATGCATATGCCAAACACAACAGGCATGGTGAATAAGAAAGCAGTAATTTCTCAAAAAGCTTTCTTAAATAACTCATACACAGAGTTGCCATTTACTTTATTCCATTTTAAACATCATTGCACCTACAGAAACTTGATGATGGAGGTAGTGGTGCACATTAAGGGTCATATGCCAAAGTATTTTATTTTCTAACCTTTGATCAAATGTTTTGGCTCATCTCCCTGTACTGCATCTCCCAATGCCTGGATTGATTTTCTAGAGGCAACATTTCATGTCTGCAACTCACAAGATCCACTACTATTATTTCCATCTGTTTCCAATCTACTGGCACCATCACCAGTGTTAGATGCAGGTAGCCTATCTAATGTCTAATACCAATTACTAATATCAGAGAACAGAAGTATCTAAAGTCTGAGAATATAGAAATTACCATACTGGATTAGATCCCTGGTCTATCTAGTTCAAAATCCTGTTTTTAAACAGTGATCAGCACCAGATGCTTCAGAAGAAAGTGCAAGAAGCTCCACAGTAGGCAGACTGATTTGAATTGTACTAAATTATTGCCTCGGTGACATCCTGTAACCATGAGTCTAACACTAACAGCATTCATAATGCTGTTTCCACATGGAATGGTACACCATGCTGTTTCAGGGCTGTGCATCAGCTCACGAACACACAGATGGGCTCAGCCATGCAACCTAGAACAACTGTGCCTTAAGTTATTTCCCCTTCATACCTAGATCCGAAACAAAAGTGTAAAAACACAAAATCTATAACAGAAATCAGGCTCCAAGGTCGCCATGCTCACTGCTTATTTCTGCTCAGCATGCTTACCTTTGATGTTGCATTTGAATACATCTGAATCATGTTCTCAGCTCCCTGTTTCACCTTCATCTCAATGTGCAGCTGCTTTCTCAGAGCCTCTATCCTCCTTGCCACCGGGTTTGGGTTCCTTTCCCAGAGACAACGGTCAAGGTTCATGGAACCATCTGTGCCACAATATAGTGAATTCCATTAGCCTCCTTACCATCATTCCCTCACAAGTAACATATGGGATGAGAAGCAGAGTATAAATGAAGCTTTCATTTTCCAAGACTAATACAAAATACAGCCTCAACTGAAGGATAAATTCTCCTAGTGTTGTATAATTCCACCTACTATTGTCTCTCCCAAGCTCTGTAAGTCTACCTAGATGAAGTTCAGGAGGTCATCCTATGTCCAACACACTCAATCAGCCTTTTCTGATTTATGTTACCACCTCCTTTCATCTTGATTCTTGTCAATCACAACTTCCCAAATTTCAATACCTCTACACTGTACTTCTTCTCACTTAGACATGAGCAGAAACCAGTTGAGATTCCTTCAAAATATTAGATGGCTAATATTTTTCCCTCCCACAATCCCATCATACTAGTCCCCAACAGAAATTAAAGCATGAGTTTATAATAAGGCTCACTGTTGATGTTATTATGCCCAACAATTTTATCCCAAGACCTACCTCTTTTGCTCTCACCTTTCTCTGTTACTACAAACTGGGCAGTAAGCTCCTGGAGATCCCAGTGCAGCTGCTCCAGTTTCCTGTTGGAAGATTTCAGCACATGCTCTATATGCACCAGGTTCTTTTTATCTGTTGTCACCTTGCGTAGGTTTTCTGCCCCCTCTTTGATCTTTAGTTCCTTCTGGATAGCTCGACGAATTAGTTCCTTCTCATCCTCTAGTTTCTGCTGGAATTCTGGATCCATGAGGTTTGCTTCTTTGTTTATTTGCAGGCAACAGGTGCCCTAAAGCCAGTACCAAAGCAAACAGAGTTGGAGCAACTAAGTGATAACAAAAGTGTGGGTATGCAACACATCAATAGCATTCTGCCACTTCATCTAAATTACAGTGGTCTCAGAGCAAAACCTTGACTCCAACCACCAGCAAATTTTGAGGAAGATTGGATCTAAATTTTAACTTTGCAGTTTGGTGCCTATCTTTCATCTTAATATATGCCAACTTGGCACGAATACACAAATGAGATGAGTCCTCACAACGTTTGTCTTATTATTTAATGTATATTTGTGTGCCTTGAATGAGTACCAAAGAGAACCCGCAATTTGTCCTCATCATGATCATGACTCTGAGTTCCGTTGGCATTATATAGCAGGTGCAAATCTTTATTTTAATATGGCTTCAGCTGCCAGTTGTCCAAAGCTGCATGCCAGCTGAAACTTTGTAAAGGTGTCACAGCCATACCTAACTTTCAGTGAATGAATGACCAAGAGTTTATCACCGAGGAAGACAAATTAATTCATACATCTGTTCCTATATTAATGAGTCAAAAAGTCACCTGTACATGCCATACCTGAAAAGGCAGAGAAGTTTGTAGTTCCAACCCCTAATCCAACTGTGTTTTGCAAGCAGTATGGTTTCTTTAAAATTTTATTCACATTGAAATTGACCTGGCAACATTAAAGTCTGCTCTTAGCTTTGCTTTTTTAATCAATTTTTAGTCAATTTTATAGTCTGGGCTGACAGACTATGTTTACAGTCCCCAGAACAAATATATCCTCAGACAGCAAATACTTCCCACACATTCCCCTCTGAACAGGCTTCCCATCCAGGTAAGAGCAGACAGAGCCCTATCCACAGAGCTGCTGCTGGCTCCACCCCAGGCTGATGACATAATAAGCAACTTCAAGAAAGGAGAAGGGATTTTAAAGGGCTCCATAGCAATTAAAGAAGAGAGAGAGATTAATTAATAACTTACCATGACCCTCACTTTTACACAAAATGAATGAAGAGCAGCAAAATAAAGTGTGTCACACTCAGTGAATTCCCCAATCTCACAGAGTCACTATTAGAGCTAGGAACAGAAACTAAGAGACCGGTCTTCCTGTCATATTCCTTAATATCAGACCATAAATATAGTAACAAACCACATCAGTATTTGCATTACCAGGTCACTGATCCATATTATGGATGGTTGACTTCACCAAGCACCCAAGGTACATGCCAACAGCTCAAAAACACACAACTGTTGAGTCATTATAATGTTATTGTGTGGCACTCCACACAGCTAGTGTTAAAAGCACATTTTCCATCTTTCTTTACTAATAAAGTGTTAGTTAAATTTCAGTTTAATAGCAAAATGAGGGAGAGAACAAATTCTATTTTTACAGGTTCATTACAGACCCGACAGCCAAGAAAAGAGACTTTAGGACTGATAATGAAACAAAGTGGCTCAGGTTTAATGTCCTGATTCCAGGAAGCTTTTGCCCAATCATTAAGGCCAGGAATCTAGCCAAATCCCTGGGGGAAAAAAAGCATTTCATCAAAAGGAACTTGAATCATGGAGCCCTTGAGTCACTCAGCCAAACGGTACCAACTCTAGGTCAGAAAATAAGAAAGTCTTTTGTTCGGTATACAGTAAGTTACTAAAAGAAGTTTGTTACTAAATTACATTTTAAACAAATATTTAGAAAAAAATATGCTATTTCTTCTCTTCCCAAACTATATTGATAGTTATATGCAACACACCTCTCAGGTCCTACTAACATATTTATACTGACAATATCAGGATTGCTGGTTGATGTGAGTTTAGTGCTGGCAAAAGATACTGCACTGTGTGCCCTGGAAACTGACATCCTTCATTTATTCACTGACATCCTCCATTTATCCATAGAACGGATACAGTGTGGGCAGTGTCAGGGCAAATTTCCTCCACTCCACTCTCTGTCACTACCTGCCTTGTCTATTTTCTAAATATATTTAGCAGGCCTGTCCTTAGGATTTATGGGACCCTACACAGGATTATAAAATGTTGCTCCACTGACTTCAGTGTGTTGAGGAGGCACAATCCCTGGACAAAACCTGCAAGGGGATTAGATTGCTCCATACCACTCTTTGCACTCACCCACACCACAGGCAGAGACTTTGGCTGCTGGCCAGAGCAAGCCCTCACAGCCTATGCCGAGAGAGAGAGAGCAAGGCCAGGTGAGTGTCCTGCCCATACCCCATCCTGCCCTGACTCAAGGTCATGCTCCTCTCCCTCCTGGCCCGGCTTGGCTCTCCCACCCACCATCATCTATCTGCTGACAACTGATTTTTTCAGAAATGGTGTTGCTCACACCTGGGTTGGTCCAGTGGGGAGGAGAGGAGACAGGAGTTTGGTAACACACAGAGATAGGCCTCTTTCCCCTCATCCCTACACTCCTTCACTGCTAACCCCTGCAATCCTGTCCTGTGCCCATGTGGGGAAATTAACCTGGATGCACAAAGCAGCTGGCATTGCTGTTCACTCTTACACACATATACACACTCCATGCTTTTCTGCCACACTCACCCCTAGGAGGCTGTGAGGGGAGAGCAAGGAGCTACATTAAGACTCCCTGCATCCAGGTCACCTTTTCTGGCTGGGTTGCATAGGGAGAGGGCATGAGAGCAGCAACTTCTGATGTCTCTCAGCACCCAAGTGGGGAAAGTGACCTGCATGCAGAGAACCCTTGTGTATGGGGTGTTATGTTATTTAAGGTATTTTTTTTAAAGTTTCCATGCAGCCTGTAGGGATTTCACTTCTGACACTTTGTTCCATTTAATTTAGTTCTGTAGCATCTTAGAGACTAGAAAATATATATATAGTATCATGAGCTTTTGTAGGCAAAACCCACTTCAGATGCTCCACTCAAGCTCATCTGAAGAAGCTGGGTTTTGTCCACAAAGCTGACGATACTAGATATATTTTTTGTTAGTCTCGAAGGTGCCACAGGACAACTCATTTTTAAAGTTACAAACTAACATGCCTACTCCTCGGAGACTTACTTTGATCTGTCTGTTTTTACTTGCAACCACTTAAATCCTACTTTTTATATTTAATAAAACACACTTGTTTATTATCAAACCCAAAGTAAATCAATTTAAAACTTGTACATGGTGTAAGATGGATTTATTTGGGGTTTTGGTCTTCTTTGGAGTGTACATTCCTGGGTGCTGAGCCCTAATAACTGAGCCCTCCCAGAGCGGAGCTGGTTCAGTGTCTGTGTTGCTCTGCTCATGGGCAGTAATCCCAACTGTGCTTTGCCTGGAGAAGACTAGAACTTCTGGCTCAGCAGCACAGTGAACATCAATAGCTTGCTCAGCACACAGGGAGGACAATCCCAAGGGGACTTCTGTGATCCAACCTATCACAGGAGAGTATTCCACAAACTAATGCATTCCACTGCCAGAAAATACTTCCCATTATTCACCTTTCATTTTCCCTTTCTCCATCTCAACCCATTTCTCCTGGTTATAATAAACTCTTATACCAGTCTAAATAACTAAACCATGTCCTTAACATTCAGACTTATCAGACTCTTGCCTTTCGCCCTGCAGTCACCCATATTTATGGGGTTCTTTTTCAGGAAATTTTTACCACTGTGTATATGCATGGTGTCTAGCACAAAGAAACCTCAATCCCCAACTGGGGCTTTTAGATACTAGCCCAATAATCATCACCAGTATACGATAAACCCATTATTCAGATCCAGCCCTATCTGTGACAGGATCTACTCTGGTGAGAGGAATATGTCCCCACCTTTACTTGGATGATCAGAAAGAGATCTGTATGCAATAGATCAGAATGAGGACTGACAACCTGATAGCTTTCTTGTTAGAATAAGAAGCCTTGTGAATAAGGGGGAAGCAGCAGCAAATGAGGTATACCTAGATTTTAGTAAAGCACGGATGCAGTCTCACATGACATTCTTATCAATAAACTAGGGAAATACAACAGACTGGGCTATGATAAAGTGGGTGCATAACTGGTTGGATAACCATTCTCACAGAATAATTATCAACGGTTCATAGTCATGCTGAAAGGGCATAACAAGTGGGGTTCTGTAGGCATCAGTTTTGGGAATAGTTCTGTTCAATATGTTCATCAACAATTTAGATAATGGAATAAAAGAATACACTTATAAAGTCTGTGGATGATATCAAGCTGCAAGGGTTGCAAGTGCCTTGGAGGATAGAGTTCTAATTCATAGTGATCTGGACAAACAGGAGGAATGGTCTGAGGTAAGTAAGTTGAAGTTCAAGAACAATTAATTTCATTAAAAAAGGGAAGTGATTGTCTAGAAAGGAGTACTGCAGAAAGAAATCTAAGGGTCATAATGGACCTCAAGCTAAATATGAGTCAACAGTGTGACACTGTCACAAAAAGTAAACATTCTGGGATGCATTAAACAGGAGTGTTGTAAGCAAAACACAAGAAATAATTCTTCTGCTTTACTCCACATTGATTAGGCCTCCCCTGGATCATTGTGTCCAGTTGTGGGCATCACATTTCAGGAAAGATGTGGAAAAATTGGAGACGGTTCAGAGAAGAGTAACAAAAATTATTATAAAAGTCTAGAAAACATGATCTGTGAGGAAAAACAGAAAGAATTGGGGTTGTTTAATTTGGAAAAGAGAAGTCAGAGAGAGAACATGATAGCAGCTTTCAAGTACCAAAAAGGATATTACAAGGAGGAGGGAGTAAAATTATTCTCCTTAACCTCTGATGATAGGACAAGAATCAATGGGCTTAAATTGCAGCATGTGAGGCTTAGGTCAGACATTAGGAAAAAATTCCTAGCTGTCAGAGTGGTTAAGCACTGGAATAAATTGCCTAGGGAAGTTGTGGAATCTCCATCATTAGGAGTTTTTAAGAGCAGGTTAGACAAACATCTGTCAGAGATGATCTAGGATGATGCTTGGTCCTGCTGTGAATGCAGAGGACTGAACTGGATGAACTCTTGATGTCCCTTTCTGTTCTATGATTCTACTGCACTTCATATTGGGTAGAGAAACCAGCTCAGCATGAGGAGGAAGGGGAAAAATGCCTCAGGGTAAGGGAACTGGAGGCTTTTAAGGAGTCCCGTTTTCCCAAGCAAGTCAGGAGAAGGCTCCAGGCCCTGAGTGGA